GGAGCGGCTGCTCCGGGACTGGTTCTCGCTGGTGCAGCAGCGGAATTTGCTGGTGCGGCGCCAGGATCAGCTGCAGCTGCTGTGAGGGGACACCGGCGACACCCCCGGGACCGGCTGGGGACACTTTGGGAGAGGAGGGGGCTCTGCCAGCCCCGGTGACATCTCCTTGTCCCCTTTGTCCCCTCGTGTCACCCCCCAGGGCGCAGGAGCGGGACCTGGAGCGGCGCTTTGAGCTGCTGAGCCGGGAACTGCGGGGACTGCTGGGGACAGAGGGTGCGACACTGGGGACACTGGGGACACACTGGGGACACACTGGGGACACCGGGGGGACACGGGGACAAAGGGTGGGATGGGGACATTGGGGACATTTGGGGACACTGGGGATGGGGAGGACACGGCGGGGACATCGGGAACGCTTGGGGACATTTGGGGTCAGGGACAGGGCGGAGGCACCGGGGGAGGGGCAAAAAGCTTTGGGGACATTTGGGGGACATTTGGGGACCCCCCCAGAGTGGCAGAAGCCCCCGGCCCAGCGGCAGCGCGAGCAGCTTTTACTGGAGGAACTGGTGGCACTGGTGAACCGGCGGGACCGGCTCGTGCGGGACCGACACCGCCGCGAGACCAGGTGGGGACACCGGGGGGACACCGGGGGGACACCGGGGGGACACCGGGGAGGGGTCCCGGGGGATTTGGGGGGGTCCCGAGGGGCTTCAGGGGTGGCGCGGGGAGATCCTGGGGGGGGATTGGGGCTGTCCGGGGGTCTTGGGCCGGATGGGGAAGGTTCGGGGAGGATCCTGGGGAGGTCTCGGGGGGATTTTCCGGGGGTCCCGCCCTCCCCGACCCCCGCAGGGCGCAGGAGGAGGATGAGGAGCTGGAGCGGAGCCTCGACCCCCGGCGCCGCCGCTTCGGCCGCAGGGAAACGTGCGGGATCAGCTGAGAGACCCCCGCGACCCCCAAAATCCCCGCGACCCCAAAATCCCCGGGACCCCTCCCGGGACGCCCAAAATCCCCGGGACCCCTCCCGGGACCCCCAGATCCCGGCGGATGCGGCAATAAAGGAAATTTTCTGTGTGAAATCCGATTTGGGGGCACTGGGGGGGGTCCAGGGTCCCTCCGGGTGTTTTTGGGGAGGGGGGATTCAGGTCTGACCCCCCCCCAGGTGACGCTCGTGACTCGCTCCTGGTGCTCGGGGGGGTTTATTGGTGCCTTTGGGGCTCAGACCCCCCCAAATCCCGGTCCGGGGGTCTCTCCCCCCCCCTCGTCCCAGGGCCCGTCCAGGGGCAGCTCACACCCTATGGGGGGGA